CCGGAGGCCTCCCTCGGCAGGGGCTCGGGTGCCGTCCCTCTGGGCGGAGACCTAGGGGAAGACCTAGGACACGCTGGAGCAACTACGTCGCTCGGCTGGCCTGGGAGCGTCTTGGGGTCCCCCCAGAAGAGCTGGAGGAAGTGTCTGGGGAAGTCTGGGTGTCCCTGCTCAGACTGTTGCCCCCGCGACCCGGCCCTGGATAAGTGGTTGATGATTGATGGATGGATGGATGGAAATTATGGTAAATAAATTATTTACAAGCCTGGACTGACATCAGCATTATTTTAAAGCTACATTTGAGCTGCTGTATCTTCTTGGTGGCTTTTCACAGCAATGTCCTACACTTCATTCTTGTACATTTTAAGATTAGACTTTAGTTATTTTCTTATATATAATGTAAACTCTATATTAAAGCACATTTTATAAAGTTTTTGGTTCTAGCTACATTTGAATTTTATGCTTATCCCTGGGTGTTTTGTTTATTCTTTTTTAAAAACACATTATGATTATTAATTCCTACCAGGCAGTGACACTGCAATTGCGACAGGACCAGCCATGGTTTAAGATTTTTTAACGTAGTTGCCCATATATTAGATGCTATATTTTTTGCAGCAGGACAAAGTATTTGTAGGCTTTCGTTATTTATGTTAAGTCTGTCAAGCTCTCCAAACATGTACGTATATATGTCAGTGTGCATATATTTTTATTAGACAATGAGTTTAAAAAACATTAAGGCGACTCCATTGTTCATGTTCTCATAAAATCAGGATGATTTTAAAGATTGAGACTTTTTAGGTTTAGGTTTAACCCAGGCATTCCCAAGTGTGGTGCCACAAGGGGGTGCACAAGATAAAAAATGTGGTAGAGTGTTTTGTGTCATCCCAGTTGGGATATAGAAGGAGGTATAAAGCGAAAAGAAAAACCAACCCAAACCCCTATATTTTAGGGTTTAGGTAAAGTTAGCATTATGGGGTACTATTTAAATGATAATAGAGGTTACAGTCTGTCTAGCATGTACAGTATGTTTGTTTAGTGTTAAAGTGCAGCAGTAGCAGCGGGCTGACAGTATGCTCCCCACTGAGATTGGGCGACATCAGGATAAACCAGGTCTCTGTAGGGGATGTGCAGTTTGAGAACACAGTACCTTCGATCCAGGTCGGAGTCAGAGCTGGTTGAATGTGTGGAGTAAGCACGGTACTTGTCCTGTACACAAGACAACAAACAACACACTCTGATAAGAAATTCTTGTCATGATAAGGTAACTCTACAGGGGGCTGCAGAAGCTCAAACGTCCCACCTCATCCTCATTGTCAACTGGTTTGGACTTCTTCTCCTTCCCGTTCTTCTTGTCTTCATCCCTCTTCTTCTTTTCCTTCTCAGGCAGGAGGTCGTCCAGCCAGGCCAAGTCGTGCTGAGAGAAGACCATGTCCAGCATCTTTCTGACCACCATCAAACCCAGAATCTGAACATTTGGTACAGAAAATGTTTTAAATGTTATAAATAATTATGTAAATTTAGCTGGAGGGCATCTGTTCTTAAAATGTCTGATCTAAAATAGCCAATCATTCTAGAAGTGGTACCTCTCTTATGATCTTCAAAGACTCTCAGATTAAGAGATAAAATCTTGATTTCATGCAGTTAAGTTTATTTGCATATTAAGCTTTGTGTGGAAGATTTTAATCTTGATAAGATTAACCCAATTTGTACAAGGTGAATTAATTCAGCAGCTCCATGTTTCATCCATACATAATGTGAAAAAAAACAAAACAAAGTAAAAGATCTCCCAAAACCTGTCGGAACCATGTTAATATGTTTGGTCTCATACCATCACAGGAAAGACAATGGCCAAAAATGTGGATTTGAGGATCCAAAGCACAGCCAGACACGTGATCTGAATCAGAGTAAATAGGTGGACTCTCCTCAGAGGGACATGACGCAGGTAAGAGAAGTCTGGTTGGTGCTTGGCAGGCATCATGTATAACTTTATCCTGTCCCAGAACTGCGCAGGAGCAGGAGCAGGAGATGAGGAGCAGGTGGAAGACAGATGAGCATTAGTCTTAGGTTAAACAAGGTTAAACACATGCAGACCTGTGATATAAATGATTAATCTTAAGTTATTAGAGGGACATTTGTATGCATCAGAGCTTTACTAGACTGTGCTGAATAAGTTAGAGGCAAAGTTAGCATGAAGGAAGAACAAAAGGACAAACTGTTACAAAGTTATACAAAAGAATAACTAGGAACCAGCAACTGCATAAATTAGCCAATATACAGCTGAGATCAAAAACAAAAGAATTTGCAATTGATTAAATGATTAAATTCAACCAGAAATAGGCATATCAGCAAAAAGAAGGGGGAGTGTAAAAATGACAAAAAAGGAGCATCAGAAAATGGTCAGCAATAAATGTCTAAAAAAATTGAATTTTATGTTAAATTACATTTAGAAGGTTTACTGTGCAAGGTGTAATATTTACAACTAATATTTATTTATTACAGTTAGGTGTATTATACTGGATAATGTGTTGCACCCTGGTGGAAAAATTACTAAAGTTGCTCCTGTGTCTGACCAGCACCACCTGGTGGATGAGAAGCACTGTCTAAGACAGACCTAAACTAACACCATTCTTCTCTCTGACACCACTGTCAGAGTGTCGTTCAAGACCCAGAATGTCACTAGACCTGTGTATAAGTTTATTGAGTAAGCTAGGGTTAGCTAGAAACAAAAGCAATAAACAACAACAGCTAAGCATTAGCCAGAAAATACCTATGGTTTGGTAAAAATAAAGTCACAAGGTTAAAAGTTTGTCCCTGGAAAGGGTAACTTTTCCAGATAGTATGTTAGTCACAAAAAACATTTATAAAAGATTAGAATTGTTGTTAATGCAACCCAGGGTCTTTTGCACCCATATGATGCAAAAAACAGGGGTCTCAGACTCGCGGCCCGGGGGCCAAGTGAGGCCCGCAGTACAATATTTTGTGGCCCGCACCTTAATATGAAGGTATAATATTAGTGTGGCCCGCGGAGAAAGTGGACCGCCGAAGAGCCAATCAGCAAGCTCCTGCGTGCCGTCCCTTGTCGGGGCTAGGCTAAGCTACACCAGCTTCGTGCACTTCATGCTTGCAACAACAGCACGGCGTGTAATGAACAGCCAGACAGCAGTTGCTTTTGCGCTTGCCATCTATCGTACTTTCTACCACAAATGTCATGATCAAGCGCAAAAAGAACAGCGACTGTTACCGGGCTGTTTATCGTGTACGCTGCTGTTACAGATAGAAGCGTGTGACGGAGCACCTGTAGGTGCTCTGACATTCCCCGACCGGCTAAACACTTGTTTGAAACGTGAAACAAGAGCGCTACTAAGCGGAATCAATGAGATTTTGTCATACCCCAGTCATGTCTTCATCAAAGCCTGCAGTGAAGAGAAAGGTTGGTGACGAGCACAGACAATTTCAAGAAAAGTGGGAGACGCAGAGATGACACCTGCCGTTCCTCAGCACCTGCCTTCAATCAACCCATCACGCTGACGGCATAAGAACCCTGGCCTTTCTACCACTGGTCGTCAGATCGTTTGTTCAGCCACCGTGGTTGCTAACGTCCAGATTGACTTGAACTATTCTTCCTTGTGATTCCTGTTGAAGTTAAATTAGAAAATAAATCCTTGATTTTCATTTGACGTCGTCTGAGCCTGCATTTGGGTCATCACCGGTTTAAATCATGACAGGGATTTTGTCATACCCCAGTCATGTCTTCATCAAAGCCTGCAGTGAAGAGAAAGGTTGGTGACGCATGCAGACAAGCATGGGCAATTTTTGAGAGAATTGCCCCCCAACTTCCCTGAGCTGAACTTCAATAAGTCCAAGTACAGGTCCAGACTTACTGATGATCATCTTCAAGCCATACTGAGGGTCTCAACTGCTTCCTCTCTCAAGCCAAGTTCAGATTTGTGAAAAGAAGCGCTGTCAAGTCTCTGGCAGCAAGGAGTAGGCAAGATGAGCCATGTTCAGAAAAACCGTTCATGATTTTCACTCAATGTTCCATTCATGTTCAAAACACTTTATGTTCAGAAGAAATCATTAAAACTGTTAACTGTTAACATTTGAGGACTTTTTTTTAACTTTATTGTGGAATCCCTTATGCGGCCCCCCCCTTACCCAGACTCTGCCTCCAGCGGCCCCCAGGTATTTGAGTTTGAGACCCCTGCTCTAAAACAAATAACCGTGGTAAATAGATAGCTAGTAGCTCTGCAATGCATGAATAGCAGTCAACAAAATAAGAAAAAATAGCTTGACAAATGTATACTGTATCTTTTAAATGTCTTCTAAAGAAAATCTAAATTCAACTCTGACAAGGCTAAACGTATGATTTTATTAGTAAATTAGTTCATTACACTGTTCCTAATGCAGCACAGAGGCCTTGTTGGTGCAGTAGGCAGTGCATTACTCTCACAATCTGAAGGTTGTGAGTTTGAGCCTCACGTGGGGCAAAACATTTTGTGTTTTGCTTGCCTGAAGGTCATCTACATACTGTAGACTGTGTGTGGCATCAGGGACTGTTTGCAACACAGACCAAAACCTGTCCATTAAGCAGACTGTTGTCATCAGATTAATTGTATTTCTATAGGAAGGAAAGTTAACTCCTTGTCATTGTGACATTGTGACACACATCACTGCACACAACGAAATGTGACCTCTGCATTTAACCCATCACCAAAGTGAACAGTGGGCAGCTTTAAGTACCCTGGGAGCAGTATGTGGGGACGGTGCCATGCTCAGAGCACCTCAGTGGTAACTTGGCAGCTGGTGGATTAGAACCTGCAACCTTCAGAACCCAAGTCCGCTTCCTTAACTACTGCCCCACCACTGATCGGATATAAAAAACAGCACAGATTAAATATCAGATCCTACAGATAAATGAAAATGAAAAGGTGTCTGCAGCCTGGCGGAGAAAGAAAAATGTTTTTGTTCGGTGGAACCTTCATCGATTTTCTTTTTCCCACAGCAATGGCCTAACTTTTGTACAACAATCACTAAATGTATTTCAACCATTCACTCTCTGCTGCCAAGTTTCAGGATTGACTGGAATCCAGCTAACAGGAAATTGAATTTTACACACCGCCTGCACCAACTGTATGTTACGTAAACACTCCAAGTTAAATGAAAACATTTGAGGAGACAAATGTCTGACAATTAAAACCTGAGGCTTTACCTTCAGGCTCTCTGCTTTTTTTTCAGCCAGGCTTGGCTGACGTTACACACAGAGAAAGAAAACACCAAAATAAACCTAAGCTCTCTGTAGTGAAGGAGACGAGTAAACGAGCACACTCATCCTTAAGAGTCTGTGCCCAACATTGCAGCTCTGACGGGCTTCAGGACTTAAGAGTATGCCAGGTCATAGTAATAAAACTGTTGTGTTTTAATAGGTAAAACTTTTATATGTATTTCTCTGACGGGCCTTGAGTTTAACAAATACTATCAGAGTATCTTTCAACAGTCTTCTTGGCTTATATTTATGTTTCATTTTCATTTTTATGTTTCAAGTTAAAGTGGACGATGAGGGATGGGTGGATGGATGTTTCAAGTTACTTTGTGTATAGTAATCTCTTTCTTATCTAATATTTTGACCTAACCTTTCCTCATCTCCTTAATAATTTGCTTGCCTTTATTTGGGCTTTCTATGATCAGTGTTTAATTGTTTGATTTGATAAAAAATGCACATAAATAAAGATTTTATAAAAGCTAAATGAAAAGTTGTTGTCCAACATGAAAACATTCATAATTGCTAAATTAGAGTAAAATAGAAAATTCCCTCTGCAGGCTGAAGGGGAAAAAAAGGTATTGTATGACACAGATACTCCAAGTTGCAGTATTGGTATCGGACATGAAATAGTTGTATCGAGCATCCCTAATATCAAATGTCAGATAAATGTTTACTTTTTTGTTTTGTCAGTCTGATATAAAAAAAATGTGAAATCTGTTTACATCATCCACCATTAGTGTTGCTATGGCTCTGCCAATCTCATTGTACGACTTGGCTTTTCTTGAGGTCCCAACAGAATAAAGAGGAATCTATGCAGGGACAAATAGAGTGCGTTTCGGCAGGATATGATGTTGGAATGTTTCCTATAATAAGTGGGAGTAAAAAGGGCAGTAAAATGTTCTAGATCTTCTCACCTGATGGGAACAGGAACCGCCGTCAGACCCCCTAATGTCGTGGCCTGAGCCAGGCGGACAAATGCAACAAAGGGTTTGTTCAGGAAATCCACCTCGCCCACCAAAACACGCCTCGGCATCTCTTGGGATCTTCTTTATGAATTTGTTTCTTAGCTGCAGAACTAGCAACAATTTAGCCCTTTCATGCACGATAACCTACTTCAGGGTTTTTATTATTTCTATTTTGTTTTTATTACTCTTTAGGCATGTAAAAAATAATCACCCCCTTATTTTCTTTTAACATACATTTTTCAAGGAGTTATTGACATGTCCACTAGGGTGGACAAAGTGCATTTAAACAACTTTTTTGCAAGAAAACAATTAATAACAAAAAATATTGTAAACACTATAAAACATGTTTTTGTTTTGATCTTTAACATTATGGCATGGCATTTGCTATCAAATCAAGACGCAGCCCTTCCTCTGATGACCAGTACATGCTTGATCTTGGGTATTTGAGGTATGACCAAATTAATCCATAGAAACTGTCATTTCACCATTTGTAATGGCCAGATTTTCTTTTCCTTTTTGCAGTGCATAGAGGTTTGATTTGAGCACTATTTCATCTATCAGATCTTCGGGAAATAGATGCATGAAGAAATCTATTGGGTCTGTTCCCTCAATATTTACTTTCCACTCTCCTAAAAAAGGAGGCAGGTCTTCCTCAAACTCATTGTCTTTGCTTTTCCAGACATGTCTGCTTTTTTGTGTTCTTGAGCTTTGTCAGGTGGGACATCCTCAGCATCATCATCTTCCTCAGCATCCTTATCTTCCTCAGCATCCTCAGCATCACTGTCACTACTGCTGCCATTTGCTAATTCTCTTTTTTCTGGTAACCGTTCATCATCACTGCCACTGACATCATCCTCACTTGAGTCAGATGGTATTTGCTCAACTATCCTGTAGGCTTTGCTAGCAGGATCTGACCTCTACAGGACCTGACTTATACAAAACATAAGGACAAGGATCATTACTCTCATGAGGACTAAAATCCATAAAATATTGCCACAATAAAAATTTAATTGATTTGCAGCCAAAAAGTTACTGCAGATAAAGTATTTTCAAAAACAACAAAGTTGCAGCAATACTATAAAATGTCCAATTTAGTGGACACGTGATTAATCACAATTTCCTCAAATCGCAAAATCAATACTTGGATATTTTAACAATTGTATTACTCCTTAGATGTTGCTTGATGTCCCAATATTTTTTAACAGATATTCCTCCCCTGCAAGGCGCATCTGCACTTCTGTCAGTCTTCTTGTTTTACAGAATTTATTTTTGCTCTTACAAAAGCTGATGGGTGGCAGTGTATGGCATGACACACTAGTGTCCACTGTAGTGACTGATGCATAACTGTGACATTAGGACTCAACAAACAACTTTTGAATAGCTGTCCACAGTAATGACCACTGTCCCTGAAAGGGTTAGAGAATTTTCTGTTTAATGTTCAGTCTTTTATACTTGGTGGTCTGACCTTGAATTTGGGAGATATTTTTCCAGTATCTGATCTCTCTTACTCATAAATTCCACCAAGACAGAACCTTCTAAGAAGGTTCTTCTGTTTGTCTGTATATAATGCTGTATTTCCAGGTCAACCTGAAACATTCCATCCAAGGCTTTTATGGCAAGATCTTGGTCTCTGGTTTCAGGATATCAATCAAAAATATTACTTTAAATAAATAAAACATAACGAATGAGCAACTGTTTACAGCAGGGGTGTCAAACTCAATCACTCAAGGGACTGAACACAGTCGGATGTGTTTTAAATTTCATTGCAAATGAAACAGGAACCACATTTATTAAACAGTAGAGCTAACAATGCTTTAATCAGAAACATTGAATTTTATGAGTACACCTAGTGATAAACAAATTCAGATAATGCTATGAAAGCAGGGTAATCAGACCTGTGCCTACTGCTGTATGTAATGGTGCAGCAAAATAGGAAG